ATATATATGTATATATATATATATAATAATAATAATTATGTTATATATATACTCAACGATTTGAATTACGCAGACGTCATTCAAATCGTTGAGTATAACATTATTATTATATATATATAACATAATTATTATTATATATTTATATATATATATATATATATATATATATATTTATATATATATATATATATATATATATATATATATATATATATATATATATAATAATGTTATATATATATATATATAATAATGTTATATATATATATATATATATATAATAATGTTATACTCAACGATTTGAATGACGCAGATGCGCAGATTTTTCGCGGAATAAATTTTGGTTCTCAATATTTTGAAACAGAAACTTATAAAACTGAACTTACAACTAAGGAATAAATTCACTGCATTACACATAAATATAAGAAGGATATATATATATATAATAATGTTATACTCAACGATTTGAATTATGCAGACGTCATTCAAATCGTTGAGTATAACATTATTATATATATATATAACATAATTATTATTATATATATATATATACATATATATATATATATATATATATATATATATATATATATATATATATATATATATATATATATATATATATATATATATATATATATATATATATATATATATATATATATATATATATATATATATATATATATATATATATATGTATATATATATAATAATAATAATTATATTATATATATACTCAACGATTTGAATTACGCAGACGTCATTCAAATCGTTGAGTATAACATTATTATATATATATATAACATAATTATTATTATATATTTATATATATATATATATATATATATATATATATATATATATATATATATATATATATATATATTTATATATATATATATATATATATATATATATATATATATATATATATATATATATATATATATATATATATATATATATATATATATATATATATATATATATATAATAATGTTATATATATATATATATATAATAATGTTATATATATATATATATAATAATGTTATATATATATATATATATATATATAATAATGTTATACTCAACGATTTGAATGACGCAGATGCGCAGATTTTTCGCGGAATAAATTTTGGTTCTCAATATTTTGAAACAGAAACTTATAAAACTGAACTTACAACTAAGGAATAAATTCACTGCATTACACATAAATATAAGAAGGATAAATAGCAACATTGATAAGCTTAAGCAATTTCTAACCGAATGCAATTATTTATTCAGTATGATTTGTTTAACCGAGACATGGTGTTCTGACGAATCTTCCAGAATAAATTTAAACTTAGAAATTCCTAATTACAAATTAATATCTTCTGAAAGAAAAACTAACAAAAGGGGAGGGGGAATTATTAACTATATTCTAACTGATCAAGCCACCAAATATAGACATGACCTTTTTACCTCAGATGCCGAGAGTGATGCTCCAACATTACATCTTCCCAATTATTAATAAGCTGACTTGGGTAACTCAATTATCAGTACCGTCAATAGACAATATATTAAGAAATACAGTTCTTGATGTTACTTTAAAAGCAGGTATTATAAAAACAGATATATCGGATCATTTTCCGATTTTCTTTTCTCTGTCACACGATACAAAAACTACTAACGACTGTAAAATTAATATTCATAAAAGGAAAATTAACAAATATGCTATTCAACAATTTAAAGAATCACTATCGGCAATAAACTGGGATAAAGTATACCAAGAATGTAACCTTAGATGCACCAACTCTGCTTACACTAATTTTGAAAACATTTTCTTAAAAAATTATAATAAATATTTCCCAATAAAAGTAATGCTAGTAAAAGAAAAACATCTAAAATGTCCGTGGATCACCAAAGGAATTAAAAAATCTTCAAAAAAAAACAAAAAACTTTATATCAAATACTTAAAAAATAGAAATGAAGCAAACCTAAATGCTTACAAGCAATATAAAAATTTGTTTGAAAAAATCAAAGAGATTTCAAAAAAGAATTATTACTCAAATAAAATAAAAAACTCCAAAGGTGATATTAAAAAAAAGTGGGACGTAATTAAAGAAATAATTGGGAACAAAAATTGCAAACCAAATAGTTTACCTACTAAAGTTGTTATAAATAATGAAGAGTATGTCAGTAGTGACGTAATCTCAGAAAAGTTTAACAATTTTTTCGTTAACATAGGCCCTAACCTGGCTACAAAAACTAATTATCCAAACAACTCATTTGAGGCATACTTAACTAATAACAATGACGAATTAGCATTTAGCGAACTAAAAATTGAAGAACTTGAAGTTGCGATAAAATCTCTTAAAATAAATAAATCTCCTGGTATAAATGATATTTGTAGCAATATCGTTATCGATGTCTTTTTGGAGATACGCAAACCGATCTTTGAAATATTTAAATCATCAATTAAAACAGATACTGTACCAGATAAATTGAAAACAGCTAAAATTATATCAATTTTTAAAACAGGCGAAACATCTTTATTAAATAATTACAGACCGATCTCTATACTGCCTACTTTCTCTAAAATACTTGAAAGAATAGTTTACAATAGATTATACGAATATCTCCTTCAAAATAACCTCTTAAACAAAAAACAATTCGGGTTTCAAACAAAACACTCAACCGAACATGCCATTTTAGATCTTGTAAATAGCATGAGTAATTCTTTTGATAAAAAGCAATTTGTATTAGGGATTATTTTATAGATTTATCTAAAGCGTTCGACACCGTTAATCACAATATCTTACTTAAAAAAATGGAAAGATATGGTGTTAAAAATATATCCCTTGACTGGTTTAAAAGTTACCTGAGTAGCAGAAAACAATGCGTTGTTACAGATCATAATTAATATTCTGATAATACTAGAAATAAAATGCGGAGTTCCCCAAGGTTCCATTCTGGGTCCCCTTTTATTTCTAATATATATCAACGATCTTCCAAAAGCCCTAAAAAAACTCGATGTAATAATGTTCGCTGATGATACAAATTTATTTTACTCATCGCCGTCTATGAGCGACCTTTACGAATCTATGAACAATGACCTCGAAAACCTCAACATCTGGTTTAAAGTTAATAAATTATCTTTGAATACAGATAAAAAAAAATATATCTTGTTTCACTCCAACCGTCTTAAAAACTTTATACCAGACACTCTACCTTGACTAAAAATTGATAACATAAACATCAAAAGAACTGAAATAACTAATTTTCTTGGAATAATTATTGACCAGAATATTAATTGGAAAGCCCATATTAATACAATAAACACAAAAATATCAAAAAGTATCGGCGTACTCTACAAAGCCAAACCTATGCTTTCCCAAGACAACTTAAAAATTCTCTTCTTTTCTTATATTCAAAGTTAAATTCTAAAAAAAAAAAATTCTCGCGATTTTCTTTAATATACCGTGGCCCATACTTACATAACAAAATAATACTTCAAAATATGGAACTTAATAAAATGGATAACCTTATTGCTCTGAAAAAAAAACTAAAACATATCATAATTAACTTAACCAACTTCATCGAAATGTATTAATCAATTTGTGAAAAATAGTAATAATAAAAAGCCCTACTACTTCTACTATATAGTAGATACCAAAATACTTATGTGTATTTGTTGAACTAGTTCATTAAAGTTTATTTTATGTTTTAAAGGTTCTCGATGAAAAGACTATTTTAGTCTTCTGCGAGTTTCCTTACAATAAAGTAAATATTTTTTAAGAATAGTTTTATATATATATTCAACAACGTCCACAAGCAAGTCCCTAGTAGCCCTGTGGTACGACGGACTTGCATATATTTTTTAAATGCATGGGTTAATAGCCAGCACTTTATATTATAAACAACGAATATTTACCTTATTTTGTACACTGTACAACGCGCATGCGCTAAACAGAATTTCGAATTTCTTTTGTCATGTAAAAATTTTAATGGTACAAAAATTGTTTAATTGTACGTTTTTTACTTATATGTAAAAATATGTAATTTTGTTTTATTGAAATATATACGGATACTTGTGTTGTAAAAAAAAAAAAAAAAAAAAAAAAATTAAAAAATATGCTATTCAACAATTTAAAGAATCACTATCGGCAATAAACTGGGATAAAGTATACCAAGAATGTAACCTTAGACGCACCAACTCTGCTTACACTAATTTTGAAAACATTTTCTTAAAAAATTATAATAAATATTTCTCAATAAAAGTAATGCTAGTAAAAGAAAAACATCTAAAATGTCCAAAAATATATATATGTATATATATATATATATATATATATATATATATATATATATATATATATATATATATATATATATATATATATATATATATATATATATATATATATATATATATATATATAAATTTCAAATATGTAAAGTTGAAAAAAAAAAAAAAAAAAAAAAAAAAACAATTGAGACTTAACGTTGCAAATTGAGACTTTGACTTTTTTTCCTGACAAAGTAACCAATTGAGACGAAGCTATTTTACAAAAAATGTAATAAAAGATTACTATTTAGCAATGCGGCAATGTTAAACAAACATTTACTGCATTATCAAGTTTATTTACTTAATATTTAAATAAAAATTAGAGAATATGACCTGGTTACCTATGTAACTGATTAAAACGTTACGTGACTTTAAAATGTCGTAGAAGATAGTATATGCGCTTCAAAACAGCATCACTATAAACATATATATATATATATATATATATATATATATATATATATATATATATATATATATATATATATATATATATATATATATATATATATATATATATATATATATATATATATATATATATATATATATATATATATATATATATATATATATATATATATATATGTATACTTTTACTTGGTTGTCTTAAAGTTTTCATAAAATGTCAATTTTGCATATTTATGAACTTTAAATTTTTTTTTAGCTTATAGTAGTAATGATTGTCTTATTGATTGGTTTGCATATAATAACTCATGCTATCTTCTCAGCAACGATTATAAAAATTGGACAGATTCAGATTTATTTTGTAAAAAGTATGGAGGAAACTTGTTAAGTATTGAAAATGAGGAAGAAAATTTTTTTATTGTTTCAAGAAAAGTGCCTCTTTATGTTAGTTACTGGATCGGTAAGTATTTTTTGCATTTTAAAATTAAAAGAATAATAGTTTAAATCTATCATCCATTCAACGTATAATACTAATTATTTTAAAAAGTTTTTAAGGTTCTGCTATTGAAGGGTGTCCCAATTTCGCTTTATTTTTTTTTTAATTTTTAGTTAAACTTTTTAAGTGAGTTTTTAATATTTTAAAAATAATAAGTGTAAAGCTTTGGGATAGCCAAACATTATTTAGAATGAGCACAGTTACATAATTTACGTAATTTTTAGTTTTCTATAGTTTATTGTTTTTTGAAACTACCACTATCATTTTCACTTTTTTTTATATGGTTTTTTACTAAGTAACTATTACAGGTAAAAAAAAATTTTCTTAAAGTAAAAATTTTAATGGTTCGTGCATGACTGAAACAATATGTAAAAAATTCCTTAAAACAGTAGTAACAAGAAAACCAAATATTATTTGAGTTTTCCAAACAGTAGTCAGAATGTGCCCTAATTAAGTTAATTTGATTAAGTTAAAGTGCTCATAATTTTATTTGCAATGTTCTTAAGCTTAAGTATTAGTGGTATTATTGTTAGTCGTAGTAGTGTCAATTAATTTGTTGGTCCGAAACTACGTACTTGAAGATGTACAATTCATCGCGCATGATAATTGCATGATAATAGTTATCAGGTTTTTTGAACTAAAGAAATCTTTTTCTTTTTTAATTTTTTGCCCAGATAAAAATAGCTAATAAATAAGTTTCTGATTATCTTAAATCAGAAATGTATCTTTTGTAGGCAATTGTACGCCTATTTCAAGCTAAGTTTTGCTTGGCAATAGATTGGGTCTTCTTTGTCTGCCGGAAATTCAAACTCAATAATATTATTTTTTATAGGAAATATAACCTCAGTTGTCTTAAAACATTTTTATTAACCATTTGATTGGTCCATTATAGTTTTTAACAACGGCTATCCTTAATCATCTTGCCTAACAGCTAGTGTTATAGTTGTTGCGTCAAAGCAAATATTAATCAAATTATCAAGTAGATACGACGGTTAATGACTCAATCCTTCTGGATTACACCACTAGCATTTGGGATAGTAAGGACCCTGAGAACTTTGGAGTTTGATACTTTATATGACCCTCTTACAAAATAACAAGACTTTCTTCTTTCTTTCTTGTGAAAAATTAAATCAATATAAGTTTTCTTAAGATTATTATATTACATATTAAAGCAACAACGTTTGAATAATAAAGCAACAACGTTTGAATAATAAAGCAACAACGTTTGAATAATAAAGCAACAACGTTTGAATATTAAAGCAACAACGTTTGAATAATAAAGCAACAACGTTTGAATAATAAAGCAACAACGTTTGAATAATAAAGCAACAACGTTTGAATAATAAAGAAAGTAAAAGTTTGCTATCCCAGTAGAAAGTAGTTTGTTGGATTGATCTTTATTTTTTTTATTGATAAATTGACAATTTAAGTAATTGGAAACAGCGGTGAATGATTCCATCAGCGTTTTTGGGTGAAATAAACTGAGAAATAAAAGCAAGCTTTTTCTCCTGGTTTTGATATTTTTTGTCACTTTTAAGATAAAAAGGTTGTGTTGAGACAAAGTTGTATGTTTTGTACGTTATTTGTTAATTTTTAACGTAATAATTCTCCCACTTACTTAGTTTTTTATAAATTTTGCGGAGAATTTTTTTTTAGGTTAAAAATAGCTCAAGATACTGGTAAAAAGTAAAGCTTAATTTATAACTTAGAGCTAAATTTACTGTTATATAATTTTATGGTCAAGAAACATATTTATTTTTACTTTACATGATACTAAAAAAAGTAAAAGTAAAATGTCAAATATTGCAATATTTAAACCTTTTTAAATTGTAATAAAAAACTATTTAGAACTAACTTAATTAGAATAGACAAATACATTAGCGTCATAATTATGAATTAAACTTACTCTGAGTATTTTCGCAAAAACATTCTTATTCTACAGACCATATAAGTAAAATAAAAATTAAAAAGAAACAACTACCAAGTAAACTTAAAAATTCACTAAACTTATTAGATTCCATTTTTTTTCTAAATATATTGCTTCTTTAGCTAGCATTACATTAAAATTTAGGTAAAATTAATTTTTTTATTTAACAGTTTATTTGAATCATTTAAAATAAAAGCGTTTAAATTGTTGCAATACAATGGGGCTTTACTCAAACTTGTAGATGTATATAACACGCTCAAAGCTGAGTACGATGAAATTGCTCATGCTGAAGAACAGTATTTTCTAACATTATATGGATTGAAACGCAAGTCTATTTTGCTTAATAAATTTTGGTAATATGACTATATTTGCTGAGTAGCATGAAAACCAGTTCACAAAAACCATTGATTTAGCTGTATTACCTCCTTCGTTTTTCCTGTATTACCTTTAACTGTATTACCTCTAACAAAATCTGGCGCAAAGCAATCTTTATTTCATGTCTAACGTTAATTACAACAATGACGCGGTACTATTTTGGATTCACTGAAAAGGTATTGCAAAGTGTTAGATTTAAATCTTCTACCATTTAAACATTCTAACGCCAGCTCTAGAAAATTTGTTTCATCATTTGATCTGTAACTACAAAACTAGATGCAACAGGAATCGCTAGTTTATAAAAGGTAAATGTGTTTATACAATGTATAATTTAATATAATGGTAATAGCAATTAAAATAACACAAAACTTTTTACCAAAATAGTAAGTTCCTATATGAGTTGATTTGTAATGGTTGAAAACTGCTTTAGAAATTATTTTATTTCTCTTTAGGCGGTTTAAATCGCTCATCAATTTGTCGAGCATGCAATGTAGTGGGTTGCTCAAGCCCTGCAGACGTGAATGATGCTGACACATCTGATAAAGATAAAGATGATAATAATGACGCAAATGTAGATTCAGATATGTAGATTGTGTAATTCAAATGTAGATGTCTGTAATTCAGATAAAGAACCAATATGACCAATAAAGAATTAAATATAGTAAAGGTTGAGATAATATAATTACGATAATTTTGTAGCATTTTGACATACATGCAGTTAAACATTATTCTTTATGTGATGTGATATATTTTAAAGTTTAAGGTTTCTTTATTAAATATTTGTTTATACAATGGCATTTTCTTCTTAGCAAACTTGTCCAAGACTGGTATACCAATGGGTTTTTAAAAAACAGTTATTATGAAAATATTATGTTACATCTTGGTTTCCTCAATGCCAGTGATATAAACACTTCATATTTTAGTAATGATGGCCGTTTCGTTTTTCCACAAATATAAAATTGTAAAAAATTCCAAAAGTTAATAAAAATAATACTAGACGCGAAAAATGTACTATATTGATCAACAAGCTTAGAAATTCAACGTTTCAGTTTGGACATTGATTTGACTGCCTTATTGGCATGGGTGGCACCAATATATTTGGTCTTCGAGATTTCTAACTTATAGACCTAGAGCAAACTCCAAATATTTATATGGTTATACTTATGTCAAATAAGGATGCTTTGCAAAAAATTGCGATGATTGGAGCCGGGGAAAAAAAATGTCTTGAAATATTGTCCCCTCCCCTCCGCCCCAATTGTGAGAGCAGTAAGTTGACCAAATATTTTTTACACTATTTTCAACTAGCCTTATATTAATCAAGAAAGTTTAAGTTTCATAGAATAATTTCTCAGCGTTCAAAAATTATGACTATATAAAATTTGCAACCCCCTCAAATTTAGGAAGGTTTAAACTTTATATAGTCATATTTTTTGAACGCTAAAATATTTTAAAATAAAATTTAAAATTTAACGATGATTATCAGTCTAGTTAAAAATATTTCATCGACTTATTGCTCTCACATTTTAAGTTTGTATAAAACATACATTTTTTTAAACATACATTTGTCCGTAAAAAGTAATATATAAAAAGGGAGTTTTTGAAATGCTTCTTTAGGTAAAAAAGGAAATAAATTTCTCAAAACCCTTTTGCAGTTAACTCTCGGCTTGGTTAAGGCAATTTACAAAATGTTCGATTTGACCTTTTACCTAAAATAACGTCGTTAAATCACGCATTGCATTTTGGGATTGGCAGGGAGCAAACAAACTTATGAAATATATATTACTATACAAAAATCCAGCCACTATTGCATTAGTGTAATTTATTATTTTATATTTATTTGTTTGAATATTGTTTACACATCAGTACATTTGTCAAAGTGGAAAGTAGATGACTTAAAAACCTTTTCATGGAACAACAGTAGCTCTAACGTAACAATACCGAATACTGTCAATAATGTTATTAAAGGTGACATCTTTATGTCACCTTTAATAATATTACTTTAACATGCCCCAGAATATTGCAAGTTTTTGTCTTGGGATCCACAGACAAAAATAAATGAAAATCCATTTAGTATGTTTTTATGGTTTAAAATATATTTTTACTGCTGAGTGTTCGTGTATTACAGGTTACAGTTCGTTCTGTAAGCATTTCTTCAGTTTATTGTATTATATGAGAATGTTGTCAGGCTAGGTCATAATAAAACATGGGATGGCAAAAAGCAACAATTGGATGTACAAGTTGAAAAGCGTTAAAAAATACACGAGCCATGTGAGATAAAATCAGTTTTTTAGACAACCTAATCCTAAAAATTATGATGTTGAACCTTCTCCAAGTAGAAATTTTTATGAACCTCGTTCACCAATAGACATTGATGTCACATATTCAGCTGAGGACTGGGAGAATATTGCTAAAGCTACCAACGGTAATGCAAGTGTTTTGCATTTTAAAAAAAATAAGCTTTTATAAAGTAGATATTGATTTTACAATTGCTACAGAATACCCTCAAACAATTAATAAAATAGTTTGTACAACCGATATGAATTTGTTTCATTAAAAATTAAAAACCTATCGAACAAATTCTAATATAAAAAAAAATTGCAGTTTAACAACAGACCACTCAAGTTCTGTTAATTGGTTTAAAAATAGAAATGATGTTATGAAATCATCAGTATCAGTATCCCATGAGGTAACTCGCAAAGTTAGTGATAAGCAAATAATTACAAATCCAAGATCCACTTTTAATTTATGTGTAAAGATTTGTAAACAAATTGAAACTATTTCCAGTACTGCGCTAACATGCGGAAGAAGCAGTGAAGAATTTGCTGTCAAACGTTATGTTTGAAAAAACAAAAATTTACATAAAAATTTTAGTTGTGGTATAGCAGGCTTGACAATATGTTCTGAGTATCCATATCTGGGTGCTAGTCCTAATAGAATTTTTAATTGTACTTGTTGTGGATTTGGTTTGTTAGAATGCAAATGTCCTTTTTCAGCAGGAGATAAAACCATTTCAAAATATCTTTCAATGTCTTCTTTTTTTTTATAGTAACAAGTAATGAAAGTTTTGCTATCAAACTCAATTACCGTTGTTACACCCAAGTTCTACACCAAATAATTGTTACTGGTGTCAATTATTTGGACTTTGCAATTTATTTACCCAAAGAATCTTGCACATTTTGTATTGATAAGGATCCGAATTTCTTTTTAAAGTGCCTACCAAAATTAGTTACATATCTTAATGGTGTTATGCTTCCATATTTATATGACTTAAATTTTGTGAGAGCCACTTACCTGCAGAAAAGTCATTCAAAGCGTTGTTTCACAAATTGAAATGGTAGAAAAGCAAAGCACAGCAGGATTAGAATTAAAGCATTTAACTGATAATTTCCAAATGCTACCTAAATACTCACCACCATTTTGTAAGAGAAAACTGTAAAAAACTATATTAAATCAATAAATATACCTAATCAAATAAAAAAAAATTAAACATGTATATATATATATATATATATATATATATATATATATATATATATTATATATATTTTTTTCATATATACCTCATATATATGCTAAAAATATATTTATAATAAAACACTACATAAACATATATATACATATATATATATATATATATATATATATATATATATATATATATATATATATATATATATATATATATATTTATTATTACCATAATTATATATAAATATATATATATGTGTATTATTACCATAATTATGGTATGTTTCATTATTATTTGCTTAACAATCTTTTCTTTCTTTCTCCCTTATATATATACTTTTTTTATTTTTTAATTTCTTTATTATTTTTTTGAGAATTCTATGTTTTTTAGGTAACACTACATTGACTAGTTTGTAATTATTGAGTGACACCTAATCAAATTCTATTAATTTATGATGAGATTTGAAAATTTTATTGATATGGTTGAAAAAAGTTATATGTTTTGTATATATAAAATGAACAGAACAGAAAATAGTACATAAAATTAATAAAAAAAAAAAAAATATAAATAACTTTTTTTTATAATATAATATAAAATATAATAACTTTATTTAAAAAACAAAATAAATAAAATAAAATAAAAAAATAAATAAACATAAAATGAGTCAAAAACAAATAAATAAACGACTAATGATAAACGAAAGTTATACATTTTCATGTTTGATTTTTTAAAATCTAATTTACTACCAACAATGACGTAAGCAACCACTATTACAATTAAGACAGAAAACAGATAGTAAAGTTAAAAAGCAAGAAAGCGGTGGAATGAAGACTGTGCAAGCAAAAAAACTAGACAAATAAAAGTTTTTAGAGCATGAAGGAATAGATGCAGTAAAATTATATGTTTACTGATACGGATACTGATGCTGCAATAACACTATTTCTATATTTAAACCAAACAACTTGCTTAATGACAAGTCACGTGTAATTATAAAAAAGATTTGGTTCATGAAACAATAGTATTTTAAAAAAGAGAAGATGCAAAACTACGACCATGACTATGCGTCGCTCCAATGCAAAATGAGGATGTTGGCTTATAAACAAAGAAGCATTCAACTTTTTGAGCTGATTTTTTCACAAGACATCGAATTTTTGTTTAAATTTATATCTTTGAAAGAAAAATATCCGATTTTTATAAAATAACAGATTGTCGTGTTTTTTTCGGTTCATCCGGAGTAATTCTTGACTAATCAGAAAAATTACATTAATTCGGAGATTTTTATTCAAAAAACAGTAAACAGTAAAACAGCAAGATTTATAAAATTTTACAAACTTTTTTTAGATATTTATAAACAGTGTCATTAAATATAATTTTGTTAAAATTATAAGTTAATCTGCTATCATCTAACTTTTTGTTGTTTAGTTTTTTACAAAATTTAACAACGTTCTAATAGATGTTTTTAATAACTTTAACAAAAAATGGCTTTGAAAATAGCCATTTTTTAAACGCAGTTCAGATTATCAGTATAAAGTTTTAGTTCATGCAATGGATCTTTCTAAATAATTTAATTACTAGTTAAAATTTAATGTTTCTTAAATAAAAAACAATAAAACTTTAAATTGTTGTTATAAACTATATTGAGATTTCTTTATCAAAAAAAAAGTTAACAAAAATTGTTTAACAAAAATACTCTATACTGTTAACAATAGTGTAACATTCAAAAAAACACTCAAAAGAGTGTTTTTTTGAATAATTAAACAAATAATTAACTGTATCTCTAGTGTTTTCTACCAAGAAAGTTAGACGTACATGACTCGTGTAGTTTTGCTTTCCTTGTTTATTTTTTTTCTCCAACCTATTAGAGGATACTTAAAATATCTAATAAAAGAATCATCATGAGTTATATGTACAGATTGTGACATATGTATGATTTTTTTTTAATGTGTTATTAGTATGTATTGAATGCAAATAGATATTCAGATTTCTAAATAAAAATCTATATATGCGGTCTTGCAGTCATGCTGTTCATATCAATGAGTAAGTCTCGAAACAACTTATTTATTCTGAATTTGATGTCCTTTGTAGTAAACTATACCTAAATAAAAAATACATTAAAGGATATGCGAAATCAGCAAAAATTTCAAACTTAGAAGTATTGTGTATCTATATATATTGTTGGTATACAAGGGAACTGCATGTCCATTTTTGTCAGTATCGTTTGTTATACCACATAAATTTCATAAATTAACTATTAATGAATTATTTAAAACTCTTATTTAAACATTAATACATTATTTACACAAAAACTTACTATTTTAACTAT